CAGGTAAACTAATGGGAATGGAACCTGCGTAAAGAACTGAATATTTCAAATTGAAGTTATTTTCCACTTTAAAGGTGCCCTGGTGGCTCAGGGGTTAAGCACTTGGCTGCTTGCTAATCAAAAGTTTGGCAGCTTGAACCCACTATCACAGGAGAAAGATGTGGCAGTCTGCTTCTATAAGGATTTATAGCCTTGGAAGCCGTATGGAGCAGTTCTACTCTGTCCTGTAGGGTCACTATGAGTCAGAATTGACTCGATGGCATTGGGTTTATTTATTTGTTTTGCAATTGAAAGTTTGTTTTGTTTTTACAAATTTTGCTGTGTGTATGGAATATATTTAACAGGAGAAGAAACTTGTTTTAAGGATTTGAAAACATACACTTTGAATATTAATGCTTATTTCCATATAGTAATTAAAATAACAGAGAAATATTTTAGTGTTTGAAATACCTAGCTGCCTCACTTTCAGAAATTCAGAAATTCTATTCAATCTTTATTTAATTCTACAAATGCCATTCATTTTACTTGGGTTTTCATATGCTGTATATGCTCAGTTCCTCTTTCCTCTTATTTTAAACTAATAGGAGAAATATTTTGAACATCTCCTATGTGAAGAGAATACCAAGATTATTAGAAACCCAGCATGTGCCCAGTACTGTTCAGTAGAATGCAGCTGCACACCAACACCCTTTCTTCCTTTTGTCCTTATGTTAATAAGTCACTTTACACCACCCAGACTAGGAGGGAAGGGGTGTGAGGGAGGTTGCTCTGTTAAAAGAGTTGATTAGCAAAGCTTCCCTTTCGATCAGCTGTTTGCCAGATCTTATACTCTACTCAAACTGATCTATGACATTTCCCTGGAACATTTTCTGCCTTCTTGCCACCTCAGCTTTTGCAGTGTCTTACTTGCTTTATAACCATCTCCATATTCCACTTTTTAAAATCCTACCCTACTCCCTGTAAGTCTTTCCCTTTACTTCCAGCAGAAAGAAGCTTCACCACTCTCATAGCTGCTGAGGCACTTCTTAGGACCTCACTTCTATGTCTGACTTTTGCTTTGTAATGTAGCTATTTACTACTAATACGAAGACTGTCTCATTGCTCTTGTAGCCGAATGTTATTTAGCTCACATTTACTGTGCTAGCCACTTCCATGTACATTCTCTCATTCTGTTTCTCAAAGAGCCTAATGAGGCTTTGAAAGGAAAGTGACTTCAGTAAACAATTGAAGGATGGAAGAAGAGTTGAATAAATTCATGAATAGTCAAATCGTAGTGGTGAACCCTTGAATATAGAGAGTTTACTCTGTTGCTTCTAGCTCTGTCTCTGGTGCTGCTGAATCCATTTCAACTCCTAGCAACCCCATATGATGGCGTAGAACTGTCCACATAGGGTTTCTTGGCTGTTGTCCTTACAGAAGCAGATTGCCAGGCCTTTCTTCCATGGAGCCTAGAGAAAAAATAAACATGCAAAAATATCTATACACACATCTCTTAGCCAAACGAATAACACAAATAACCAGTCCTGTTAGTACTAATGTTGTAATTGGAAGAAAATAGCCACTTTATTTTTTAATTATTTGAAAGAACACCTGTGACTTCTAGCAGATACTCCATATCAACATTAAGAATATTGATCAGTTTTTTAATTGAGGGCAGATGCACTCTGTATAAATCAAATTGACTTTGTCTTCACAAAAGCTTATATAAAACATAGCACAGTTATCTATTTTTCTTTCTGTAGTTGGAGTTCTAAACTGCGCACATGGAATCACTGAGTTGGAATCAACTCTATGGCAACTAACAACAACAAATCTTAGTTGGGGTGAGGAGAGTAGCAAATCTGCAGTCATTACTTTCCCTGTGCTCTTTTCTCCACTGCTTCTTTCCTTTCATTCTCTCTGTACTGTCTAGAAATTTGCTTTTCCTGGGATCTATAAACCTCAAGAAAAGGAGCTTTGGTGGAGTAGTGGTTTAAAGCAGTTGGCTGCTAACCAAAAGGTCAGCAGTTCAAACCCACCAGCCACTCGGAAACCCAAGGAGGGGTCGCTAAGAGTCGGGGCCGACTCGATGGCAAATAACAACAACAACAACAAGCCACTAGAGGGAGAAAGATGAGGCAGTCAGCTTCCATGAAAATTTACAGCCTTGGAAACCCTACAAGGCAGTTCTACTCTGTCCTATTGGGTCATTATTAGTCAGAACCAACATCATGGCAGTGGATTTTGGGCTTTGAGCCTTAGGACTTCTCAAGTACCACAGAGTGGTGAATTTCATCAGTTTCCAAGGATTCTAATTCCAGGGGAAGCAGGTACTTAAATTTGAAGAAATGGAAATTCAAAACCATCATCATCTTCTAATTACTTTACAAAGCTCTTTGCTTTTATCTCTTCCTGCCTACCACCTCACAAACATGGTCACGTGGACACTCTACTGATTTCCTGTCTTGACCTCACTCTTTTATAAGTTTACATTTTTTTTTAAGTTTTATTCCTCTTTTATTTTGTGTGTTTCAGGGCTTCAAACCAATTCAAACTGGCTCAATCATAACCTATATAGCAAAAATCAGAACAGACCTGAATTCTTTAAATTTGGATGAAGCAGAATGATAACCAAAATGGGAAAAATTTTGAGTCAAAGTCCTAGAATAGGAGACTCAGTGAAAGCATAGTGAGCTCTTTCAGGAGACTGATGTGGGAGATTGGATTATTGCTAGTACTATGGAGTGTGACACATTTAAACGGTATAGTGAGCCACCTTCTTTGAGCAGGGCACCATTGTTTCCAACTCTGCCCATCAAGAGATTTGGTTGCTTTCCTACATGCATGCTGCCCTTGTTTTCTGAGGGGGATAAGTTTCTAGCAGGGTGTTGACCCATAATTTCTCCTGTTCCAGTTCACCCACATTTTACTAATTGAAGTCCATTCCAGTTTTACTTTGTTGGCATGACTGAACCAGTTCAAAGCCCTGGTTTTGTTCTAGCTGAAGCTAGAGCTAATTGCCTAATTTGGGATAAAAGTATCTAAAATTCTGAGATAATTTCATTAAATTAGCATTAAATAACGATGGACATTTATCTACTTCCATAGTGATACTGCCTCGGAAACCCAAGGAGGGGTCACTATGAGTCGGGTCCGACTCCACAGTACATAACAACGACAACAACCATCCAACATATAAGGTTCACTCCTTTGCCCAGTGATATTTTTTTGGAACCTCATTAATTATTAAAATTACAGAATTACTATTTAATACATTAGAAATATTGGGTTGGTACTTTGTTATTGACTATAAATATAGGTCAAAAGGAAACAGTAGAATAGGAGCAGGTATGTTATGGGAGCTGGCAAACTTCCACTAAAATGGTACTTAAAGGGACAAGATTAATGTCAATTCATTTCTGAGAGTGATTGTTACTGTTTTCTGAAACTAAAGATTATTTCTAGAATGTAAAGTATCACATTCACATCAATAGGCATTAATACTGTTGTATAATAAAGTTAACTAAGTTTTTCTTTTTATAACACACTAATTTAAACTTTATATCAGATATTGACAAGTACAGAAATAAAGTCTGTGTTCATTGTGCTTTGATTATTACAAAAATGCATATAAAAACTTAAGAAAATCCTGATTTATGCTTTAGTAAGCCATAATCTTTAATTTTCCAAAAGCTGCAGTATTCTTAGAGCCACTGTGTAGAGTGAAATTTGAAGGTTTAACTTTCAGAAATATCTTTCTGAGTGTGTTGAACTCATTCACCACCACTGCCACCAGCTTCATACACAGACCAGTTCGAACAATCAAATTGTAATTGACATTAAGAAACGTGTGTGTGTGTGTGTGTACACACATGCATATGCACATGTCTTTAAATGCTTGGATTGGGAAGTTGGTGAAATATTCTTTATTAACGTGGCAATTAAGTGACATATATTAATTAAGTGAATATTTCTGAATGATTAACTTATTAGAGAAAAAATGTGGAAATAAGAAAAGTAAATTCTAGTTCTGATGCTGACATTCAGTTGATTTCACTAACATTTATGAAGTACTGACTTCAAGTATTCTGGGCTGTGATACTAGCTGTAATGATAGCCGGTCACAAACTCTGTATACCTCATCTACAAAACAACAGCTAAAAATGGCTTTATGTACCTCATTAGATTATTCCACAAGTAAAATGAGAAATGAATGAATGCCCCTTGTGAATCTAAATGTGCTAGAAAACCAAATAACCAAACCTACTGCCATTGAGTCAATTCTGACTCATAGTGACCCTTTGGGGCAGGGTAGAACTGCCTCATAGGGTTTCCAAGGCTATAAATCTTTATGGAAGCAGACTGCCTCATCTTTCTCCCACAGAGCAGCTGGTGGATTCAAACCACTGACCTTTTGGTTAACAGCTGGATACTTTAACCACAGTACCACCAGAGCTCCTTTTTAAGTGTACTAGACAGATCATTATTAGTGGGATTTAAAAAAAAAAAAAAAAGATCCAGGTTCTTACTGTTGCTGTTTACTCTAGAACTTACTAGGAATATTTTGCTCATAAATAAAAATGTCACCTTTTTTAAGAGGGAAATTCCTAATATATTGGCATTGTGAAATTCAGAGAGAATCAACTGTGATATACAGAAAGACATGTGGAGTAAGAAAACCTAAGTTTAAGATCTAGCTGTTTCTTGTACTAGCTAAGTAAACCTGCTCAAATCATTTAACATCTTCAGATTTAGTTACCCATTTGGAACTGAAATATACTTATTTCACAAGAAACATTTTATGATGAATAGAGGTGGTAACATATAGTTATTTTGTAAACTATAAGTCACTAAAAATTTAATATGATGATAATATTAGTAATTTTAAAATACATGTTTTTAAGTGACCCCTAACAATCTCTTAACGAACCTTGTTAACACTAAAATTGGAACAAGCTGAAAGTCTTAAGTGCCTGAGCATATTATATTTATTTTATTTTAAAATTATAAATTTCCAATAGATGTGCTACACAAGAGATGGAGCATTGTATCTTCACCAGAAAGGGAGATCACCTTGGTGAACCTGAAAAAAGATGCGAAGTATGGCTTAGGTAAGTCACTGTGGTATTCTTAAAGATCTGTGAGAATTCAGAGAAAATATATAGTATAGACTTTGGCATTGAAAGACCAATCCATTTCTGATCAAGATACGGCTGCACACCCACAGCTCCACATCACTCTATCTGGCCTGTCTGGAAATGCTAGAGAAATGCCTACAAGCAATAATTTCACAGTGACCAGATTTAACAGGTAGTTCCACCTCACAGATGTTACCTTTCAATGATATTTGCTATAGGGAGTCACCACACTTTTGTATTTTCAGGAGTCTAATCCTTAGTCATTGAAGGCACTGATATCAAGAAGATCTCATTAAAATGTGCTATTTCATAGGGTTTCAAATTATTGGTGGGGAGAAGATGGGAAGACTGGATCTAGGGGTATTTATCAGCTCAATTACCCCCGGGGGACCAGCTGACTTGGATGGATGCTTAAAGCCAGGTACTTGACATTTTGGCAATTTCCTAAGTACTTATGGGCATGAATTTGCACAGGTGGCAGAAATAGAATTTAGGAAAAACAAAATACTAAGGGGGATAGTATCTCTAAGATTTAGCATGTGTTTGTTGTTGAAAATACTGGATTGGTGAGATCACTTTACCTCTTTGTACAGGAGACCGTTTGATATCTGTGAATAGTGTGAGTCTTGAGGGGGTCAGCCACCATGCTGCAATTGAAATTTTGCAAAATGCACCTGAAGATGTGACACTTGTTATCTCTCAGCCAAAAGAAAAAATATCCAAAGGTAAATTTGTGTTCCTCACCTATGTATTCTAGTATGTATGTATGTATGTATGTATAATTTGGGAGCTCTGGTGGCGTAGTGCCTAAGGCATCTGACTGCTAATCAGAAGCCTGGTGGTTCAAACCCACCAGCCACTCCTTGGAAGGAAGATTGGGCAATCTACTTCTGTAGTGATACCACCTTGGAAACCCAAAGAGGGGTCGCTATGAGTCGAATCTCACTCAACGGCAGTGAGTTTGTGCTTGTTTTTGTTTTTTTTTTTTTTTTGTTATGTAGAATACAATTATATATTGTAGTATGTATTCACTTTTCACAAGAGCTTCAATACATTGGCCCAGTAAACTGGATTTAAGCTTCTTATTTCCTTTCTAGTTATTTGGTATGTGTAGTTCTTGGTGTTTTGGTTTCTGCATCAGTCTGACTTCTTCATTCAACACTTCAAAGCTTTTCTGTCTCATTCCTCTTTAGTGACAAATGCACAAAACCATTTTATTGTGCAAAGTTGATGTCACTGGAATAAATGTTGACCATTTGATGTGTTCCATCTTCATTTTACAAGTCAGAAACAGAATTATTTATTATTGTGTAGTTATCAATGAAGTTCTATCTTGAACTAGACAACAAAAAGGAAAAAGAGAAACAACAATAGCAAACTAAACGAAATGCAATGCACTGCCGTTGAGTCAGATCCTACTTATAGCGACCCCTCCTTGGGTTTCTGAGGCAGTATCACTATGGAGGTAGATTTTCCAACCTTCCTTCTGAGGAGTGGCTGATGGGTTTAAATAGCCAGCCTTCTGGTTAGCAGTCAAATGCCTTGGGCACTATGCCACCAGAGCTCCTAATAGCAAAAACTAGAAACATAAAAAGAAGACCATATCGTTTTGTTTCTAAGATAACCCCTGTTGGAGGGAACACAGCCAGATAGGTAGACAGAAGTATTGATTTAGGTGAAGGGAAGGGCAGTGTACCAAAAGTGAGTGATCAACACGGTGGCAATGAGGAAGAAGAAGACAGACAGATACACGGGAGGTACAGACAACAAAAATGAACGTTTTGCATGTACAGTACTGCGTTGTCAGTGATGGCAAGCATTGATCTATGGATGAATAGATGAGTAGACAGGCTGATTGATCAGGTATGTCTAGGCATGGGGGAGTGTGCCCATGACCATGTATTGGGTTAGCAGATGTTATTTCTACATGTGTATTTGTATGTGCTGTAAGAATATCTGGGTGTATAGTGGAACTGACAAGGAACAAGGTTATGGTGGCTTCTTGGCCACAGACAACCACCAAGAGGGAGCAAGTAGTTAGACCTGTGTGCTTGGGATCATGGTCACAAGAAACGTCAGGCTCAACTGGCATAACGTACTACACAAAACATTGTTCTACATCCTACTTGTGAGCAGTGACTGGGGTCTTAAAGCTTGCAAGCAGCCATCTAGATGCAACGATGGGTCTCTCCTTGTCCAGAGCAAAGAAGAATGAAGAAAATCAAAGACTCATGGAAACAATTAGTTCAAGGGGGTAGTAGACCATGTGATCCTCAACCTATATGACCATGAGACCAGAAGAACTAGATGGTGCCTGGCTACCACTGTCAACTGCTCGGAAAAGGGATCAGTGCAGGAGATCCTGGATAGAATGGGAAAACAATGTGAAACAAAACTCAAAATCAAAAAAAAAAAAAAAAAAAAAAGACCAGGTTTTCTTGGTCTGATAGAGCCTGGTGAGACCCCTGAGACTATGGCCCCTAGTAACCCTTCAGGTCTGGAACTGAACTCACTCCTCTCGCTTCCAGCCAAACAATAGACAGGTGAATGGGGTGAACATTTACATCAGGTAGATACACTCCTTCAGTCAATCAGTTGTGGGAGAACAGAAGGGCACTGTTTGCACAGGGAGATAGCTGGGGGTGGTGCATGGAAGGGAAGGACACAGGGAAGAGATAACTATAGAGAGGAAGTGGGAAGAGGACTGTTCCACTGTGGGAAATTGCAGTCAGTCTCATGAAACAAAATGTGTATGAACTGCTGTATGGAAAATGAATTTTCTCTTTGTGATTCACCGAAATCACAATATAAATAAATAAATAAATAAAAAGATAACCCCTATCATTAGCTTGTTGTAAGAGGACAGGCACTTGACAAAGATCAGAAGATCGGAGTCTGAGCTGGGCTACTACTGCTTATTAGGAACTCTGGTGGCATAGTGCCTAAGGCATTTGACTGCTAACCAGAAGGCTGGCGGTTCAAATCCACCAGCCAGTCCTTGGATTGTGCAATCTACTTCCATAGAGTACCACCTCAGAAACCCAAGGAGGGGTCACTATGAGTTGGATCTGACTCAAACGGCAGCGAGTTTTTGAGTGAGTACTGCTTATTAGCTGTATGACTTAAGGTCTCTTGAGTCAGTTGTGCAAACATTTTTTGTTTGTGTTTTTGTTTTTTTTTTTTTTTAATGAGAAAACAATGAGCTTCTCCCTCCCCTGTCTGCTTTGCCCAGAGTTCTTATGAGTATCAGCTGGTGGGTCAGTGTTTGTGAAAGAAGTATACCCAGTGTGCAGGAGCAGTGCCGCATCATGGGCAATAGGGAAGGCTCCAGAGTCAGGCTATGCAGGGTCAGGTTCTGTCTCCTCCACCACTTAAATCTCCATGTCTTAAGTAAATCACCTGAAGTTTCTAAACCTAGCTGTACTCATATATCAAGCAATGAATATAAAAATGCCTTTCTTATAGATTATGAAAATTAAATCATATAATGCATGTAAAAATTGGCACAGTGCTAGCAGATGTTAGGCGCTTAAATGTAAGTTTTAGCTGTCTTTGTTAATAAATGTATTTTTTAAATATTGAAGTGCTATATATATGTAAGGTACTTTCATCCCAAAGGTATTAGGAAATATCTCAAAAAAAAAACTAATAAACACAATGGAATACTATACAACACTAAAGAATAATGTAGAATCTGCAAAACACC